TTCTTTTATACCCAGTCCTTAATCCTTAGTCAAACTCGCCCCATTTCTGAACATGTGAATGCGTTTACGGTGACGATACCACAATTGTTTCATTTCCCAAATACAAAAAACCTTTAAATCCAGATAAATTAACTAGTGACTAACTAACTAACTAATAGACATTTGTTTTAGGCTGATGAGTGATGACTTAAGAATTTTTTTCCCGTTGGGTAAAACCGTTCCTTCAGTTCTCTTCATTTCCTTGTCTGCAGTCTTAACAGATCATGTGATCATGCAGAGCAGAGATAAATTTGAAGAAGAAAAAATTGCACTGACAAACGTCTGGCTGTTGAGAGAAGACAACTGCCCCCGAGCTTTTTCATTTCCATCCTGCTGCTGTTTTATCACGATGGCGACCCTAAGGATTAGAGTAGAGCTTAAGTTTCTTTTCCACCTCAGTTTGTTAGTTATCTCTGAAAAGACAAAGACGCAACCACAGCACAATGTCAACGCCAAACCAGGTATTGTGCTACATGAAAAAAAAATCTATTAGCTTTACAGCCAACATTATGACCAACCGTGTAGTTTCTCACCACGTCACGCACTTAAAGGGAAAAACCACTTTAATATAAGGTTTGGTATAGAACACACTATGCCTTTGCCTTAGGACAGTTTGGTCTCTGATGTGATCTGACGGTGTGAGCCTCTCCAATCCAATGATATGTACAGGTTTCCTTTCTTTACATTCAGTGTATAAAGAACGTTAGTTTGGACTGTAACTCTAGTACATTACATCCTTCCATTTCCTCATTGTTGTCTCTAAGCTGTTCCAGTGTTAGTATTTACTCCCACCGCTATTTATTACATACATCAGTGTGTTTTAATTCACTCCTTCAGTCAAAGGAAGCGCAGGCCTGACAGCTCAATTGGCAAGTGAAGGTATTGAATGCAATACGTCCTCTCAGTTGGAAAGGAAAGCCAAGCACTTGGGGCGCAATGGGGAAAAAAAAAAAAACCCACTGAAGATGAGAGTACTGTATGTGTATAATACTGCAGAGTATTATAAAAGGACCTCCCTCTTGTTACTGTTGTTGTTTTGAATTATTTTTCTTCAAGTTTGCTTTCTATTGCACTCGTAATACTTTTTAGTATATTTGTTACACAGTTGTCGGACACGAGTTGACAAAAAAACTCTTGGAGCGTTTCACACCGTTTTTGTTTACAACGGGACGGCTTCATTATTTGAGGAAATTGGAAATTCAAGCCAAAACCTTCTGGCTCATTTGCCGTAGGATTTCACCGACAGTTTGATGTTGCGTAATTACACATTAAAGCAGTATCAATATAAAAACATGGAGCATTTTAACTTGTTGCACAATGAAGGAAATGAGCAAAAACTGTAAAACTCAACTTAGTGTTGTGTCAGTAATAAAGCCAAAGTGTGACAACGCTCCTTGAAAGACGCTACGTGAACTTTGGTTATTTTTGAATTTTTGTTATTTTCATCAATATAATTGGACAAATGGACCAAGTTGTTGATGACAGATATGATCCAAAGGTAGCTCCAAGTAACAAGCAGAAAATGCCATTTCAGTGAGTTATTAATAGCTATTGGTAATTAACTAAGCTGTCACAATTGTTTATTTTAATAATTTAATTAGCCAAGGTGGTGGATAAGTGCCATTAAAAGGTGTAAAAAAAGGAGGTGTGTGACGGTAAAAAAGAGAGAAGAAGAAGTTCCACTGGATTTGATCAGAACTTTGGATTCTGTCCATTATTGAAAGGTCGTCATGTACTGAGCACAAATGACACTAAAACAGACAATTCTTTACTTGACACAGTTACACAGATATACATTTACCATGAGGAGTGTATATTGTTCCATTCTGTAAATTATTCCTATATTATTGCATTTCATTCTGAAGGTTGATGTGATCCAAGAGCCAAAAGTCATGAACATGAGTTCAACAGAACCTGTGATAAGCACACTGAATATGACGCTGATGGAATTATTTCTTCTTTTTTTTATTTTGTCCATTTGGTTTTGTTTTTATTACTGCTTTAAGATTTGTACTCCATCCTATTTTTTGTAGTCTCTGCATTCTTTTATAACCATTTCTACCTCATTACTACATTTGGAACATGTAGTATTTGTGTCCTGTCATTTTGAATGTCATTCGTTTGTGGAAAAAAATTTGAACAATTAAAAAAAATAAAAATAAAATAATAATAATAAAAAAAAAATCATGAACGCTTGCCCTGGATCCAGAGCAGTTTACCTCAAAAAGACTGTCTTTACACTGTCATTTAAACAAAACGAAAAAAAGTATACTGCACATCCCGGACCGATCCTTCACAGCAACTTAATTTTGTCATCACCGTTTGCTTCGATCCTCTGTCTGTTGTTGTACTGCGCACGTCACCGTGTATTTATTTGTACTTGCAGTATAAAGGGCGAGTGCAAAGGTTGCGACTTTGAAAATACGCCGGGATTTGAACTTTCGACTTTCTCATATACTGTATGTATAGAAAAAAAAAACAGACTTGCACATAGCTGTATGTATTGTACATTTGCTAATGATATACAGCGTACACACCGAGATGCACCACATACATGTTTATATGTGTGTATGTATTGCCATGGTTACGGTACAGTCGGTTAAAATGTATTTTAATTTCAAGGTACATAAAAGTTATTAAAAAAAAACGGAATAAAAGTGTTTTCATTTTTTCCTGAGAAGTGTAGTATTTGTTTGTTATTACTACAAACCCTTTTTTTTTTTTGGAGTACTAATCCTTCGTATACATGTCAGGACGTAACTGGGAGTACAATTGTTTGAAAATACAAATTTTTTCTTCCAACAAATTCACCATGTTTCTGGGTAAGTACATAAATATATATATAAATATATATACATTTCCAATGGAAATAAATGAACAGCTATGATTAATAATTCCTCTCTCACTGTATGTATCACTAAGCAGTGTCTTCTCCGCGTGGGTAGTTTTTGTGCAATTACCATTACTGATAAAAGGCCCTGCATGTCATACTGCTGCTGCTGCTGCTGCTGCTGCTGCTGCTGCTGCTGCTGCTGCTGCTGCTGCCGGTGCTCAGTATCAGATACAGTTAAGAGGCTTCATCTTCCAGTCCCACATTAGGTAAATAATATTGTATTTTCTTATATACATTTGTCTTTTGCCCTAACTCTGCATGTTAAATCACTGTTTTCGCTAAGGGGTCGGAAAATAAAGTCAGAATTCTAATTATGTGTAATAATCCATGTGCCTTATTGAATTTAAAAAAAACATAAATCCTGGTTTAAAGAAAAAATATTATAATCTTGAATTTGTAGTGTCAGTATATGTTGTATTTTTTAAGTATTACAGTATAAAGACAGGAAGTAAAGTTCTAGACAAAATGGAGTAAAATTCCAGAAAGGTTTAAGGAGCGTGATGTCAAATTCTTGTGCACGTCTTCCTCTCTGTCTCCCCTAACCACAGATAAGAACACACACACACACACACACACACACCGCCTCCCCCTCCCTCCAATACTGCAATCTCCCCCAGAGAACTGTCCTTAATGAAGTTCACCTGGAAGTCAGAAGTTTCATTTAGCAGGAAAACTACAGGAAAGAGTTTTTTTCCCCAGGAAGTTCACATACGATTTAAAAAAAAAAAAAAAACAACACGATGATTTAAAACCTGGTGTTATAGATGAATATCTACTGAATATCAAGGCAACGTCTTTATGAATGTACCAGCGGAGACATGTCCAGACGGCGTGTTGTCTCCGTCCGTCTCTGTCCACACCAGTCTGAACCGGAGACATTTGAACAGGAAGGAGAAAGAAAAAAAAAAGATCCTGATAAGAGGAAAAAATAAAGTTGAGTCAAACAGATTACACTGCAGTTATTAGTGGCTATTTTGTAAATATCAAAGATCCACTTGTCCCAGTGTTCTGTGCCTCATTTGCATTCTGATGAAACTGGAGTGGATGTGCGTGAACTCCGAGGTTATCTGCGGCGCTGCAGCGGCGAGCGGTTGAATCAGACAGCTCCGCCAGCACATGGCTCAAGAGGATGAGCCGCGGACCTCTCTTCAAATCACTTCCTTCATAACAATTAAAATATGCAAAGTGATAATTTTCCTTAAGTAGCCTTAAATGTGCAATCTATTTAAATGTGAGGGAAATTGCCTAAAGCTTGGGGTGTATGTGTGTGTGTGTGGGGGGGTGGGGGGGGTGGGGGTAAATTATGCAAATAACAGAACCGACTCTTGAAAGCCTAATTTTTCTGTAATAAGCACACTGTTTCTTTTTCCCTCTTCTTTTTTCCCCCCCGTCTTCCTCTTATTAAACGCGGCGCTTCTTTTGCTCCGTCTGATGGCTATATCTGACACAGGCCTGTGGAACTGACTGCCGGACTAAACGCTCAAGCGTTAGCGTAGCTTTTAGGAGACAGTTACATTCACAAAGTAATTATGCAGTGGAGAGTCCAGAAATAAGGTTTAATTACACAGTAATCACTTCTGATGGACACTGCCGAGTGTGAACACTGCCAGACTGCAATCCATCAATGACAAACCTCTGGCCACTTTTAATTCCTGCTCATTTGCATCATAACCTC